TAACATCCCTACCCCGCGCTCTTACGCTGAGGCAATCGTGGATGAGTACTCCTCTCGGTGGCAGACATCCATGGATGTAGAGATGGCTTCCTGGAAGTCCACATGCACCTACGTCGACGATGTTCCTCCTCCTGGGGCGAACATAGTCGATGGCATGTGTGAGGATCTAGGATCGAGCTCAGAAAAGAGAGTTTGAATTGAATGATCCACCTGGGTACAACACGAGGCTATATATAGTCTCGAGACAAGGCCAATTACCCAGGTGTTACGAGAATGTTCTGAGGGTCGCGAAGCGTCCCGAACAGAACCTTCCCGAACTCAGTAGAAAGAAATTCGGTGGAAACCGAATAGGCTTGAGTTCGGTACACGTAACCTGGTTCGGTGCTATAAGTATAATAAAATATAGGAATGCACCTAACCTAGGAAATCAAGCATATCTATGCATGATAAAATAAACCCAAGCTAGATGTAGCATAATAAAGTCCAGGGAAGCTAGCAAAGCCAGCATAAGTCGTCGTACTCTCACACGTCCCCCCCCTCAAAGCTGGGTGGTGTGAGAAACACCCTGCTTGACAAGATAGTTCTTGAGAGCATGGCGTGTGTTGCCCATATCAGCTTCTGCAACCCAACTGTCCTCAGTGGGGTCGTATCCCTTCCAGCGGATCAGGAACTCGAGGGTCTTGCCGCCGCGGCGCTGATGAGTGAGAACGCGCTCTACTTCATACTCTGGTTCATCCTGTACAAGAACAGGTGGTGGTGGCGGTAGCTGCCGTCCCTGGAACTGTTGGTCGGGGTCCTTGTAGGGCTTTAGTAGCTGAACATGGAAAGCGCTGTGAAGCTTCCTAGTAGTAGGTAAGCGCAAGCGGAATGTTACTGGTGTCACCTGTGCCTCAACGAGAAAAGGACCACAGAAGCGAGGCCAGAGCTTGGAGGGTAGGCGAGACAGGTTCAAGTTGCGCGTGTCAAGAAGCACCTAATCTTCGACTGCTACTGAGTGATCTCGTCGCTGACGATCGGCATACTGCTTCTGGGAGGTCTGCATCGTGGTGAGTCGTCACTGAGTCTTCTCCCATAGCTGCTGCATGGTGGTGACGAAGTCATGTGCGACTTGGACGTGTGCCGGTGTGGTTGGCTGCTGTGGTATAAGTGGTTCCTGTCCGTAACACAGGAAGAAAGGAGTTTTCCCTGTGGCCGCATGTGACGCGTTGTTGTAAGCGAACTCTAGGGTCGGTAACTGTGTGTCCCAGTGGCTGACGTCGTCCTTGCAAGCTGTGCGTAGTAACTGTTCAACCACCTGATTGAGTCGCTCTGTCTGTCCGTCAGTCTGGGGTGGTATGCTGAAGACATCGCAAGCTTAGTCCCCAACAGTCCCATGAGCTCCTTCCAGAACTTACTCGTGAATTTGGGGTCTCTGTCTGAGATGAGTGTAGCGGGGATGCCGAGGATGGTGATGAAGCGGTCGAAGAAGAGGCGCGCAGTTGCTTCAGCGGTAGCCGTGGCGTTGGTCGGGATGAAGTGAACCATTTTAGAGAACTTGTCGATCACCACGATGTCAGAATCAAAAAGTGACGAACTAGAAACATTTGGAGTACAAGTATGAAACCCTAGAGAAATGTACCCCCTAAAGGCTAACCCACTGTAGCCTACAGAACAGTAACATATACAATGTTTGACACACCCCCATAGGCTAAGTGGGGGAGAACAAGGGGTCACAAGACCAGTCAAGAAAGACAAAGCAAGCTCAGGGTGGATCACAACGTCACCACACACTCTGAGCACAAGCAAGAGGCCACAAGGCCAGTTCACATGCAGAGACATATATGCAGCACAAGCATCACAGTGATCTATACCTAGCAACGCAAGCATGAAGGTATATACATATATACATAGATCACAGTACAGGCAGAGTCTACAACAAGTGAGGAAAAGTGGGCACAAGCTCCAGCAAAGTGCAGAAACGCTGATGATCACCAGACTGAAGTGCCTTGGTGAATATATCAGCAGTGTTGGCCTGAGTGGCCACGTAAGGCAGACGAAGCTGACCACGCTGCTGCAACTCTCAAGCCAGGAAGTAACGTAGAGCGATGTGCTTCGTTCTGTGCTCCAGTCTGTGCTCCTGACACAAGGCAATGGCAGCCTTGTTGTCGACGTACAGTACTGGAGGAGAACGAGGCCGCTCTCCCAGATCGGTCAGCAGGTAGGAGAGCCAGCGGAACTCCTGTGCAGCCATGGCTGTGGCGTAGATCTCAGCCTCACAACTGGAGCTGAGAACTGAAGACGAACGCGTAGAACGCCACGAAACTGAGCCAGAGCCAAGGCTGAAGGTGTAACCCTGTGACGACCGCTGAGTAGCCTGGTCGTCAACCCAAGAAGCGTCTGAGTGCCCAGTGAGAACAACTGAGCTCCTCCCTCCAAGCACGAGCCCCATGCCCGATGTACTGCACAAGTAGCGCAATACCCTCTTTGCAGCATCCCAGTGCACCTTTCGGTGCCTACCAGGAGCCACGTAGCGGGCCAGAAGGCCAAGAGGGTACGCTAGGTCAGGACGAGTGCAAGTCATCAGGTACATGAGGCAGCCAACTAGCTCTGGGTAAGGACCACTCGGCTCTACGGACTCATCCGAAGGCAGAGCTAAGAGCGAGTGACCTGTAACCAGAGGAGTGGCCTGTGCTGAGGACCGGGTGAAGCCGAAGCGCTGAAGGACCTGTTGCACCATGTGTGACTGAGTCAGTGTGATGGTGCGGCGTGCTCTGTCCCGGGTGATATGCAAGCCAAGGTAGCTGCGCAGTTCACCCACGTCTGTGCACGTGTGTCTCTTCTGCAGCTCCGTCTTCACGTGGGCGAGAGCCTCAGTGTCAGCAGTGGCAAAGACCAGGTCGTCGACGTACACGAGGATGTAGAACGGCGGCAGCGACGTGTCGGTGCGCAGAAACAGCGACGGGTCAGCAGTAGAAGGCGCGAACCCAAGAGCCGCAAGAGTAGTCCTCAGTGTGTCGTGCCACTCACGTGGCGCCTGGCGAAGACCGTAGACCGGCCGCCAGAGGCTCCACTGGGTACCAGGAGGAAACGACCCAGTGAAGCCAGGAGGGCGGCGCAGCCAGATCTCCTCGTGCAGGCTGCCCTGCAAGAAAGCTGTGCTGAAGTCAAGAGAGTGAAGCTCGTAGTCACGCTGAGCGGCAACGTGCAGTAGCACCCGAAGAGTGGTCATCTTCGGGGTGGGGGAGAAGGTCTGAAAGAAGTCTACTCCCTCTCACTGACTGAAGCCTCGAGCAACGTAACGAGCCTTGAAGACAGGCGGAGAACCTGGCGGCCGCTTCACCCTGAAAATCCACATGCCACTGACGATGTTCGCCCCAGGAGGGGGAACCTCGTCGACGTAAGTGCCAGTGGACTTCCAGGATGCCATCTCTGCGTCCATGGCTGACTGCCACTGAGAGGAGTACTCACCCGCGATCGCCTCAGCGTAAGAGCGCGGGGTCGGGATGTCTGGAGCATCCGGGTCTCCCTCAGGGGCAAGCAGCATAGACACGAGATGAGGCGCAGCGGCTGCAAGACACTCAAGGTCCTCCTATCTGTCCTCAAGGACGTCCGTGCCTAGAGCACACTCACCCCCGACGGACAGAGGACAGACAGACCCAGACTCAGCAACAAGACTCGCGGCGTAGTCTAGACGACAGCGAGCAGCAAAGTCAACAAGCTCAGCAACTAGGGCAGACGCAGCAGCAGACTCAAAGGAAGGGTCAGTGACAGCAGTGGCCAGGAGACGCGTGACAGTAGGACTGGCAGCACGAAGAGAGTCAGACTCCGGGTCAGCAAGGGCAGGAAGAGAGGACGCAGGAGGAGACGGGAGAGGGACACGCTGTGGAGCAGTGGAAGGACGCAGAGTCATATAGTGTGTGCCAGGGACAGGTGGAGGACGCTCACGCGGAACACGGCGACCAGTGCGAGCAGCACGAACAGGTGACGCAGGACGAGACTCGGGCGCACGACGCTCTGTAAGACCGCTTGTCGGACCAGTGTAGGGAGAAGGACCAGGAAGTGGCGAGGCAGGCGGTAGCTGTGACTGCGACTGGACAGGCAGAGGACACTCTAAGGAGGGAGGAGGACCAGGAGGAGGTGGCTGACCAAGAACCTGTTGAAGGAGCGGAACGAAGTACGGCCGCGGCCGTGAAGTACCCCCCCGAACCAGCAAAGATAGTACCAGAACCTCCTGCTGGACCAGCACCAGCAGCACCTCCAGAAGCTCCAGGACCTCCAGCAGCACCAGCAGCACCTCCAGCAGCTCCAGTACCTCCAGCAGCACCAGCAGCACCAGCAGCACCTCCAGCAGCACCAGCACCAGCAGCACAAGGAGCACCTCCAGCAGCACCAGCACCAGCAGCACCTCCAGCAGTGCCAGGACCTCCAGTAGCAGCAGGGCCTCCAGCGAGCGGCACCTCAACACCAGGAGCTCCATTCCGGAGGCTGCAGCGCCGAGCGTACCACTCACGTAGCCGCTGAGGGGAGGGAGGCTCCGGCTGCGACACTGCACCCGCAGGGCCACCAGCCCCAACTCCAGCAGACCCCCCAGCTCCAGTAGCCCCACGATGGAGGCTGTAACTCTGGGAGTACCACTCACGCAGCTGCTGTGAAGAGGGAGCGCCAACAGGCGCAGTACGGCCAGTCTCAGAACCCCCAGCCTCAGCTCCTCGAGGCTCAGCACCCCCAGTCGCAGCACCTGCAGTCTCCACACCCCCAGACTCAGTACCCCCAGTCTCCGCACCCCCAGGCTCAACACCCCCAGTCTCAGTACCCCCAGACCCAGCACCACCAGGCTCAGCACGCTCAGCACCTCGCGCAGGACCAGAGTCAACAGCTACCTCTAAAGGCTCGACCGGGTCTACCTGGGAAACACCTGAGGGAGCAGCACCCTGGGGAGGGAGGGGGTCTACCGACGGGACACCTGGGGTGAGGAAGAGCGGCGGGGGGGGGAGCGGCCGAGGGGGCAGCACTCTCCACTCTCACCTTTCCCAGTCCCACCCACCCCAGTGCCCACCTGCACGAGCCTCACCTGCACTCCCACCCACCCCAGTGCCCACCTGCACGAGCCCCACCTGCACGAGCCCCAGGTTGTGCTGCAGCCTGGCGACGAGCCCCGGCTGGTCAAACGCGTCCTGCAGCCTGCGGGGGAGCGAGTGGAGATCCGCCGGGTCGACGTTGAGCGAGAAGAGCGGGTAGTTGAGAGAGGAGGGGGCGGTGGGTGCGGCAGAGGCAGGGGCAGTGGCAGTGGCGGATGATGGTGCTGCTTTTTGGTGGTGGAGGGATGCAGCCCAGGGGTTGTCGTTGGCACGGAGGAACGTCACTGGGATGCAGCCTGAGAGGATTGCCTGGGCGGGTGAGGGAGGGAGGGAGGGAGGGAGGGAGGGAGGGAGGGAGGGAGGGAGGGAGGGAGGGAGGGAGGGAGGGAGGGAGGGAGGGAGGGAGGGAGAGAGGGAGGGAGGGAGGGAGGGAGGGAGGGAGGGAGGGAGGGAGAGAGGGAGGGAGGGAGGGAGGGAGGGAGGGAGGGAGGGAGGGAGGGAGGGAGGGAGGGAGGGAGGGAGCGAGGGAGGGAGGGAGGGAGGGAGGGAGGGAGGGAGGGAGGGAGGGAGGGAGGGAGGGAGGGAGGGAGGGAGGGATGGAGGGGGGGAGGGAGGGAGTGAAGGAGGGAGGGAGGGTGAGATTGTTGGGATGGAAGAATGTCACGGGAGTGGGAAGTAGGGAGTTGGGAGTTGGAAGCGGGGAGTGGGGAGGGAGGAGTGGGGAGGGGGGAGTGGGGAGGGGGGAGTGGGGATGATGAGAGACAAACCCACTTGGTGAGCTGGACAGTCCATTGTGCCCCACCGGGGGGCACGAGGCAGACGACAAGTCTTGAGGCGTCTCATAAGTATTCTTGGGACATCTAGCATTGAGACAAGGTTCAAGACGTCTCAAGACGTCTTAAAGCCCACCTTGGCGAGCTGCACGGTCCACTGCGCCCGACTGGGAGGCACGAGGCAGAAGACACTTTCGCCCCACTCGCTGTTGTCACCAGCTGCACCGCCAGCAGCAGCAGCAGCAGCTGCACCAGCACCAGCAGCAGAAGCAACACCACCAGCACTATCGCCAGCAGCAGCGGCACCACCACCACCACCACCATCAGCACCACCGGCACTATCGCCAGCAGCAGCGCTAGCACCAGCACCAGCAGCAGCAACAGTGGCAGGGATTTCCGAGGCATCCCCTCGGACCCCCCCAGCCTCCTCGCTGTCGCCTCGAAACACCACCTTCCACCCGTAAATGGCTGCTGCATGGGACGTGTATAGCTGTGGGGTTGGGTGCAGGGGAAGGGGAGAGAGCGGGCGTTTGAGTCGACTCAAACACAGCAGCACCAGCACCAGCGCCAGCAGCAGTGGCAGGGATTTCCGAAACATCCCCTCGGACCCCCCCCATCCTGCTCGCTGTCGCCTCGAAACACCACCTTCCACCCGTAAATGGCTGCTGCATGGGACGTGTACAGCTGTGGGGTTTAGTGTGGGTAGGGAGGGAAGAGGGAGAGTGAGCGTTTTGAGTCGACTTATAACACACCCCAGCCCAGCCTCCTCGCTGTCGCCTCGAAACACCACCTTCCACCCGTTGATGACTGCTGCGTGGGATGTGTACAGCTGTGGGGGGGTGGGGGGTTTGAGGGTGGGGGGAAAGGGGAGAGTGAGCGTTTTGAGTTGACTAACAACACACACCCAGCTTCCTCGCTGTCGCCTCGAAACACCACCTTCCACCCGTAAATGGCTGCTGCATGGGACGTGTATAGCTGTGCGTGTGTGTGGGTGGGGGGGAGGGAGAGGGGAGTGCGACCAGGGAATGGTGAGTGAGAATTCCCAAAAGTGTCTCCTCGCCGTCGCCTCGAAACACCACCTTCCACCCGTAAATGGCTGCTGCATGGGACGTGTGCAGCTGTGGGGGTTAAGGGGGGGGGAAGAGAGAGAGAGGGGACGAAGATTAAAAGGCCAAGAAGGCCCAACAGAATTCTATCAACCACGTCTCACCTCGATCAACCACGTCTCACCTCGATCAACCACGTCTCACCTCGATCAACCACGACTCACCTCGATCAACCACGTCTCACCTCGATCAACCACGTCTCACCTCAATCAACCACGTCTCACCTCGATCAACCACGTCTCACCTCGATCAACCACGTCTCACCTCGATCAACCACTTCTCCACCGCGTAGTTATGGTGCATGCGTTCAACCTTGATGCTGTCGCTGCTCGCGTCAGCAATGCTGCTCGCTGACGTCACCAACAGCACACGGATCGTACGACCGCCATAGGTGGCAGCATCAGCTGCATCATCAGCAGCAGAATCAGCAGCAGCAGAAGCAGAGATGGGAGCAGAAGTCTCAGAAGCCGTGGTGGGTATGCCCTTGGGGGGGATGACGTGTGTCTGAGTCAGCAAGGGCGGCACGACCACGTCTCGTTTGGGATAATAGCAGGCGATGTCCAGAATAGAGACGTTCATAGGCGCTCCGTAGTTATACGACAGCACCTGCAAGCGCGCCGTGGCAGCAGCAAGGGGGAAGGGGAATGGGGAACGGGGCACGGGGGAGGGGGGAAGGGGGGATTTTGTTGGGGAAGGGGGAGGCAGCGGAACAGGAAAGGGGAAAATGAGAGCAACACTTAGAGCGCGGTGTAGAGAAAGTGCGGTGTACAACAGTTTCTATGCGGCGAAGAAAACAGCAGTAAAATAGCTGTTACGAGGGTCGCGATTCGCCTACCCGCATGTCTGGTGTCCATCCCGTGTGAACGCTCCGCACCAGAGCATCCCCGTTATAAGTCACGAAGAACATCTCGCCGAGCAACTTAGGATTTATGTACGTCAGCGCGTCGCATCTCCCGTTCTGCGTCGACAGAATTGCAAAATGATCTCGGCCGTTAGATCGGTTGAAGTACGGCTCGCGCCGCACCTTCGTAATCATTGCCATCCAAACCTGCGATGTCTTTTCCACCGCGTCCCGCATATCCGCACCGTCTTTCGAGACGCTTAGGTAGTACTGTAGCAGCCGGGCAGAGTAAAATGGCACGAAGAACAAACTAGCCTGTTTCGGGTCGCGGGTTCGAACCCCACCAGCGTCAGATAAAATCTGTTCCGTCAATTTCCGTTCGAGGTCAAAATGTAACGCGTACGGTGGGACGTTCATCCCGGAGATGCTATCCGTACAGTTGGGCCCGAAATCGTACACGTATATGTACGGTTTCTTTTCTTCCACTGCACCCGCCACGAGAAGCCGATTAAACGTGTCAGCAGGACTATCCGGTAACCGCGCGTACACGTTATAAGCGTTCGCCCCGCTCTCTATAGGCCTTGGAGCCGCGCCGCCGGCCGAGGGACACTTAGTAACTTCAGCAGCGGGGAGCTCACTAGCGGGACCTCCGGAGCCGCCGCGGATGGCACTGAAGCGTGTGTTGGCGTCATTATCGCACATACAAGCCGGCTGTTCATGACGCAGGATGAACACGGTTGCAATAAGGCCGACAGCTGCAAGGATAGCGACAGTGACGCGGTTCGAGAGGCTCCTAGGAGATAAGGGCGCTTCGGGCGCAAGAGGGCTCATCGACATGCTGCCAAACGGTTTGCCAGAATTTGTCTCCCTCCTTGACGAGTCCGGTTTCCATCAGAAATACAAATGCTCCAAAACCTCCTTGTTTGGCTTCCGATTCCGAGTTCCATTAGGGCGTGTAAAGTCGTGCCACAACAATTTTTGGGAAAATCCGTCGGGCCGTTGTTGGCGAAAGTAACCCTTTTACGACACTCGCCTTGTTTTGGGCGAAGCTCGGTAATTTCGCGAAATCACGAAATATTTGATGGCCGTTTCAGCGAACCGACACGACAACGACGCCAAGTCGACTCGCTAACGGCCACGAAGCCGACTAGTCAGTGCGACAAATGTGCCCATCGTCGCACAAGCGCCCTGCGTTAGAACGAGTGGTTGTGCCACTACTGGAGTCAAATGTGCGACTGGGTCGCAAAGTGGCTGGTTTGTGCGAGGCTGCAAATTTGACATGTTTGTTCATGCAGCCCGCAAATCGGCCTGCAAACTTGTCAAGTCTGCAAAATGGCAAGTACAGGCCGTTTTGGTGGGCAACCAAATCTCGACCAAGTAGTGGTCGTTGTTCGCGAAAGAAATAACGACCAAAAAGTCGTCGGATTTCCAGCCATTTGCAAATTTCGCAAATGGTGCGCGACTTTAGTCTGCGTGGTGCATCCATGGTAGGTGTAATGGATGGCCGTTCGTTTCTTCGCGAATGCACACTCTTGCTCCGTGGTACTGTACAGTCTGTACAGCTTGCAATGATGCTCGCGTGCGTTGCTAGGGCAGACAGCCGTTTCTCATCCCCTGCAGGTCGCTGGATTTCAGAAAGGTGAGTGGCGGTTTGAAGCGGTAACTGATTGGTGCAAAAGATTAGTTCACACCGCGCCACCGACTTCCGAGCCCCTTCATGTCAGGCCTTCCGAACCAAGCCCGAAGTACGACGATACGGTCCATTGAAAACCTCACGTGCCGTGGAGTCACTCAGAGGGTGTCTCAGATGTCTGAGTCGACGTGGGTCCGGCTCGGACCTGACGGACCAGCTCAAGAACCAGCGCGTGAACCAGGGCGGACCGGGACCAGGATGCGGGGCTTGTAACCCCGTTATACCGTTCGAATGGCACTAAAACGGTGCCATTTATTTGGCCCTCCAGACCAGTCCGCGCCTGGTCCGTAAACAGTAGGTGGTGAAACATTTATTTTTGCGAAATTTCTTGTTTTGTAAGTTTCGCGTGTGATTTTTGTGCAGACGAAGAAAATGGGTAACTAAATTCCAAATTCGTTGCTACTGCTGCATCTCGCAAATACTGTGCAGCCCGAAGCGCGACGGATTAGGCAGACCAGTCCGTGTCTGGTCCAACGCTGGTCCGCCAAGTGGGTCCGTCGGACCAGAAACCCGGACCAGGCGTATAGATTCTGGTCGCGGACCAGATCCAGCAGACCCTTCACATGAGACACGTCCTCAAATTCGCCTGAACCCTGACCTGAACATTTTACAGATGTTTCATGGGATTCTCCAGGAAACGTCGATCTGGCGGCAATGGGTAATTACCTTCTGGGTAACCAACATCGAAGCCGCTGACGTCAAAAGTCACCTACGTGGCTCGATGGTACCCGTCAGATCATGCGCGCCCCTTCGTGGTACCCATCTTCCCTCCGTGGTACCCATCTTCCCTGCGTGGTACCCATCAACTGTGCGCGAATTCCCTGACTGGTACCGCAACATTTAAACTGAGCTGTACACTGTACAACAAGGGTTTCAATGCGTTTTTCAGTACAACAAGGGTTTCAATGCGTATTATAACAACGTTTACACACTCTAATTGAACATTAATACCCTTGAACATAAATGTTTGAACGTGCCTTACACTGGACAGAGTGCAACATAGAAAGAAATCAACTCCTCTTCTAAAATCCTCACATTAACTCCGAACCTTCGTAAGCTCACACCACTGAACGATAGGTAGAGTGAATCTTGCGACCATGTTTCGCAGCGCTCAGTCGGTTATTTGAACAAACTTTATAAGGTTGTATGCAAATAAATTGAGCATGCACCCCCAAAGCTAAACATAAAATCATAAACAAATAATACGTACATTCGTTGGTTTTTGGAAACAAAACAATACCCATAATGAAAATTAAATGTACCTTAGTCAATATATACTTAACGTGTAAGTTGATTGTTTGCTATACGGATGTTTTTTTTGTCAGAACATTATAGCTTATGCTGTTGTGTAGGCTATAGTGGGGTATCCCATAGGGGGTACAACCAATTAGGGTTTCATATTTGTACTCACTTCATTTCATAGTTCATTCATTCTTGTTCAAATCTTCTCATGGTATCGAGCAGGTTCCCCCTTGGGAACTGTGCTTAGGGCCCACCACATCGATTTTTTTTCCTGCCCGAAGCGCGCTCAGCCCGAGTCGCGCTTCGGGCCCTCACTTCGTCGAGCCGCCCTAGCGGCCCTGCACTGCGGCCCCGCCACCCGTCTCCGCGGCCCCGCCGCCCGTCTTCGCGGCCCCGCCGCCTCTCTCCTAGCGGCTCCGCCGCCCTACCTAGCGGCCCCGCCGCCCTACCTCGCGGCCTCGCCGCCCCATTGCGCGGCCCCGCCGCCCTACCTAGCGGCCCCGCCGCCCCATCGCGGCCCCGCCGCCCCATCGCGCGGCCCCGCCGCCCCATCGCGCGGCCCCGCCGCCCCATCGCGCGGCCCCGCCGCCCTTCCTCGCGGCCCCGCCACCCCATCGCGCGGCCCCGCCGCCCCATCGCGCGGCCCCGCCGCCCCATCGCGCGGCCCCGCCGCCCTACCTAGCGGTCCCGCCGCCCTTCCTCGCGGCCCCGCCACCTTACCTGCGGCCCCGCCCTTACCTGCGGCCCCGCCGCCCTCTGCTGCGGCCCCGCCACCTTACCTGCGGCCCCGCCACCTTACCAGCGGCCCCGCCGCCCTTACCTGCGGCCCCGTGCCCTGCAGCAGCACAGCCGAGCCGCCCAGCAGCCGAGCCGCCGAGCCGCCCAGCAGCCGAGCCGCCCAGCAGCCGAGCCGCCGAGCCGCCGAGCAGCCGAGCCGCCCAGCAGCCGAGCCGCCCAGCGGCCGCGCCGCCCAGCAGCCGAGCCGCCCAGCAGCCGAGCCGCCCAGCAGCTGAGCCGCCGAGCCGCCGGGCCGCCCAGCAGCTGAGCCGCCGAGCCGCCGCGCCGCCCTCCTTCAGGGCCGCCCGACCTGCCCAGTCTGGTGAGCACAGCGCCTTTTCACTGCACTGTCCTCACCCCACTGTTTGCGCTGCTAGTCGTCTAGGGTCATGGCTACCCCTAGTGTTCTCGCCTTTGACGCTGAGGGTAGGGCCATTGACTTTGAGGTCTGGGTAGATGACCTGCAGCTGTTCTTACAGTGCGATAGGGCAGACGGCCTCTCTCTCTTTGACCTCACCTCTGGCACCTCCACTGCCCCTGCTGCTGATGCTGACGCCACTGTTCGCTCCCAGTGGGCCACGCGCGACGCTGCTGCACGTCTTGCTGTGCGTCGCCACCTCCCTACCTCCGAGCGTGCGCACTTTAGTCAGTACAAGAGTGCTCAGACCTTGTACGACGCTGTAGTTGCGCGCTACTCCTCCCCTGCCACTGCTGCACTGAGCCGTCTCATGCTACCGTACCTCTTTCCTGATCTTACTGCCTTTCCCACAGTCACTGACCTCATTACGCACCTCCGCACTAGTGACACTCGCTACCGCGCTGCACTCCCTCCTGACTTCTGCGCCAGGAACCCCCCCCCCATGTACATCACTCTTTACTACATAGTCACTCGCCTTCCTGACTCCCTTCGCGTAGTCAGGGACCACTTTCTCTCTGTCTGTCCCACCACTCTCACTGTTGACCTCCTCGAGAAGTCCCTCCTAGCGGCCGAGAAGAGCATCGTCGCTGTAGGGGCCTCTCGTGGTG